ACATATATACATATATAAATATTGAGCCTTCACTTATTGTATATTTTTTCAGAGATTTTTATTAGGTATCTTTATAAGGTATCTAATAAAAAGAATAACTAATGATTTTTATTGTCATATTGTTTGTATTAAATAAAGTTATCGAATTAATATAAATAGTTTAGCGTTTTAAGTTATATACTTAAATGCTTCTTTCTAATTTTATGGTTATAATTATTAATCTTATTATTGCAATATATATTGTTCTATTTTTTTTTTGGAAATATATATATAATATAATATATACATATAATTATTATATGTTTGCCTAATGTGATTTGCTTCAAATTAATTTTAACCCATACTCCGTTAAATTATATGAAATATTGATGTAGATATTTGGTTACATAATTTTACATAGACTAAATTAAATTTACAGAATGTTGAGTTTTCTAAAAAATTACAATTTAAGTATTATATGTACAAATAATTGTCAAATTAAATATTTCTAATTTACTAACAAACTTTGTTGTGTTTCCAAATCATAAAATAATTGTTTATGAAAAAGTTATTCAACAATAATAATAATAATACTAAGAGAAGTTATAGAATATATTTTAAACTTTAAATTAACGTATTTAATTATTCTTTGATTTTATGTTAAGGTTTCAGTTATTAAAATTATGAATATTATATACATAACTAATATATGTATATAAATATATTAGGTAGGTACATAAAATATAAGATATCATGAAATTATATAAATTAAAACAAATATTTATAATTGTTTTTAGTAGATATAGTAAAGCGAATTTTATTTTAAAGTGAAATAATTATTGGTAGTTAAATTAAAAATTAATTTTACCATAGAATGTATGCCACCTTGGATATATATATATATATATATATTATTATTATTATTATTATATGTATGCAAAGACAAATAAATTGTTAAAAACAAAAATATTTTTTTTTTATTGATTCACATAATGATTAAGATTGTGTACTAGAATAAGTAGAATATCATATGTCAATCTCTGAAAATTGATTCAAGTTGTGCATGATAATTATTCAACTTTTATAAATGTAAAATAATTAAAATTATCATTTATATTTCACTGACATTTTAAAATAATTGTTTATGTGTATAATATACATTTATTAATTTAATTAAATTTAAACAGAATTGAACGAGAATTTTAAAGAACAATTACAAATTTAACAAATACAATTTAATTTTTATTTACATAGTTCAAAATGTATAGATTTTATATAGTATAAAATATAAATAAGTTAATAATTTAAATAATATTGAAATGTGTGTTTTAAAAAATGTGATTATATTTAATATTTTGTATATTGATGACTTAAAAATGTAAATAAACTAAACATTTCTTAATCATATCACAATCGGTTATGAATACATAATATGTTTTTGATAGTAATTTTAATGCATTTTTCTATAATCATTTTTAAAAAAAATATTATTTTAAACACAAATGATTTAAACTTTTTATTTAATAAAAAAATTATTGATAAAAATGAGTACAAATATTTTTTAAAACATACAATATATTAATTCAATATTCATTTGTTAGAACGTAATAATAAAAATTAGGTTAAAGTATTTATTATAATAATTGTTCATTACAATTAGAGTTACTCATTAATGTGGTAAGATTAAAAATTTATAAAACCACGTTGAATCGACGAGCATTATAATTATACAATATTCCAGTAGCTCATCAATTTTTTTTAAATTTTAATTGGCAAATATCAATTTATTATTATTTTTCATGTATCAAATTGCATGATTTATTTTCGAGATCGTTTTACATCTAATGCTATGAAGTATATAGGAGAATAATGTATATGTTTGATCGGGAATAAAAAAAATGTAAATGCAAATCCACCACCATTGAATATAATAATATATAATGATTTGGATATATTTTCTAACCCGAATCTCCAGTGTCAAAAAAAGTTGCGAGGAGTTTCAAATACTTCAGGGATCATTATACGCCAAGTATACTTATCTTTGAGTTATTATAATAATAAATATTATAAACGTGTACTTATTTCGTTTGATAGAGTTATTGACATAATTCTTCTCGTCTGCCAGAAGGTTAACACTTCGTCCTTTCGATTTTCATTGCAGTGTCCACATATATAATATATTTGAGTAAGGGTGTATTGAATATCTTCAAATTAATATCGCATGTTCGAAATAAGAAATTCATTTGAAAAATAAAAATAAAAAAAATAAATGAATAAAAGTCTTAAGAGAGTTAATGAAAAAAAAAAAAAAATAGAAGAAAGAAATACCTCTGTGTGGTCGGTATTGGAATTCAGTGCTTATATATTAAAGGGGGTATAAAAACTGACTTTGGTGGCATCGAGTTCATTTTTCTCCTTTTCTCCGTTAAAAGGAAATGTTTGATATTCCGGTTCCTTAGAAATCTCGAGTTGATAAGATATTACACTTTACGCACGTGCGCTTATATATATATATTTATATGCTATATGTGTGTGTGTGTGTGTGTGTTATTTAATATCAAGGAATGTTAAAAATTGAGGTTTTGAAAAAAGAAAAAAAATCCCTTACTTTTTTCATATTGTTCATGTTAGATATATGTCTGTATTGCTTATTGTCCAAAGCTCAGTTGCATGGACCTCAATAAGTTATATTAATAACGAGTTAGACGTCTGTCATCACTCATAAAATGAGCATACGACAGAGTATATTACCTGCGTAATTCCTTATTTGTCATATAACATTGGTATGATTTATACTTTTTGATGTAATGAGTGTTTACAATTAAATAACCATCTTAAGTTGATATTTTATAATATAATAAGTATATAGTATATAGTATGTATATGTATTATACATTTTTACTTGTGTATTACTTAAACATATTGTAATCGCAATGATGTATTTAAAATTTAGACAAGTGAAGAGATATTTAGTAATTTCTAAACATTTATGATTATGAAGTGTGTAAGAAATAGTTGAACTGAAGTCAACTTGTATATAATATAATTTTGTAATTAATAATTAAAATTTGGTTTTTTTTTTTTTGAGTTCATAATTTATATCATTAATCTTAATACGTGTTATTTTCTTTGAATGGACAATATTTAAATACAGTACATTCAATACACCATAACATTAAATAACTGCTATATTAATTTTTAGTTTATTTAGGAAGGTAATAATTTAACATCCATTATCGCTTCAAATAAATTTATTGGTAAAGTATTTTTATAAGGAAATGTGTGTGTTAGAGTAAATGATTTAGTGGTAATAGATAAATATTTTATGATCAGTTGTGATTGTATACTCAATATTTTATGACAATAATTATACGATAAATAACGAGATTCAATATAATCCAAATAACTTTTATTTTTTGACTAAAGAGTAAAAAAAAAATACGAATTTAAACAGTCGGAAGTTATTAAAAGTTATAAATATAGAAAAAAATGGAAAATAATGCCTCTTTAATATCCCTTACTAAATAAGCCATTGATCTAATGTATAATTATTGTTTTATGATAGGTTATATATTATTGTCGTTGAGCTATATTCAACGAAATACTTATTCGATGTAATTACAGATTTGAAACAAAATGATTATTAATTTATTATAAATGTTATTGAAAAGAAACATTTTTAATATTTAAACTTTATTTAAATTTATCCATATTACCAATATTGAAAAACAATCGTTATTAGCTGTTTTACTTGCCGCCATTAATATGTTTAGGTGTGGCAGAAAATTTCTTTTTATGTTATTTATATTTTTTTTTATAGAATAAATCTTAAGTTATGTAAAAATTATTAGCATTTTAAAATGTAAGCGCTCGATAAGACATAAACAATCAGTTCAGTTATTTTGATTATATTTATTAAAATTATCATACTTAGTTGTTATTATATTATGTTTACACTATGGGGACCGGTATCTATTTGAGTTACCAAGGATTGAAACTGCATAATACTATAATTTATATATAGGTACGACAAACTTTTTTTATAAAGGATCCCTTGTAAGACAACAATCTTTTTAGAACAGAAAATAACAACAGTCTCGTTTAACCTATACATACGATATATTTTATATTCTCTATAACGGTAAAATCAGTTGGCCCCGAGCGATTCAGTAAAAAGGGATTTTATTCTAGACATACAAGAATTAGACTTCAAAACTCAGTTTTTGGCTTTGGGTTTAGGAACTCAAAATTCTATATGATTCAATCCAGTTTTTTTAAAATAAATATTATGTAAATTTGTTGAGCTTAGCGAAAAAATGTTTCTGTACATAAAATAAAAAAAAATGTGTGTGGTACCTAATATCTTTTTTAACTGTATGTGATCTAAATAATTCCTATCAAATTCCATTGATTTGATTAACTATGAGTAACACATTTTTGTCTAGTAGTAGTAGAGAAATTAAACTAAGAATTTAAAAGATTGGTAATAGTTACGTAATCTACAAAAAAATGTATCATTTTTTAAGAATATCAATAATGTTTTTATATTAATATAGGAACTTTTGCATCTGCGAGTATATTTATTGAAAGCATCGAACTTTACATAAATTTAATAAATTATTCAACCATTTTTAATCAAAAAGTGCATTGTCTATAGTATCTGGCCTATTATTAATTGGTTGCAATATGAATATTAATAATAATATTGTAATATGCAGATAAAATGAACAAAAATCACATTTGGATTACAAAAACTAAAGTATACATTGAGTATAACAATTTCATATAATATACTTTGACTTTTGATTTCATATCTATGTAAGTACTAATTATATTGTAAAAACTAGTATTATTTAAATTGAATTTTCTTTATATTAATCATGTTTATTAATATATTCGTTAAAAATAAGATATTAAATTACGTTTAACTTTATTTTATTGGAAAATTCAAGCGATTCCGATAAAATGTGTTGTACACGTGCTTAAAATTAATTTGTTAATTACTATTTTTTTAAGTCATTATGTCACTAAATAATTTTTTTGAATTATCGGCATTAAATAAAAATAAACTCACCTGCATGATTGAAGCTGTTAAAATCGATTTACTTGAAAACATGAAGAAATTTGAGGATATTTTAAAGGTATTACACACGCTATGTACATTAAATTTATTTATAATAGCTGCGAAATGTTAGTCAACGTGTGATAGGATGTGTATTAAATTGGTAATTGGGTTTTGACTTTTGTATTTTTTTTTTTTTTAGGATACATCACGAAACGACAATTTCCTGTTGGAAAAACAAATCAATACGTGTTTTGAGTTGCAGTGCAAAATCGACGATTATTCAGACAAACTTAAGGAAATGGAATTAAAGGATGATTACTCGGTATTGTTATGTATCATATTATTGCGTATTAGTCGTAGTAATGTAGTATTGAATATGATTGTTGTATAGGCAATACGGAACGTTTATTATTTATTTTCGAACAATCAGACACGTTTATACGGATATTAAATAATCATACCTACATGTTTTTTTTTGTTATATATAAAGGAGTCAGCAAACACTGTGATTGATTTTATTTCAAACATTCCAAACATCGTGAGCGATTTGGGACCTGAATCATTGATCGTTGTTACGTCTGAAAAAGTCGGCATGCAGTACGTACAATTATTACAGTAAGTATTTATACACCTTTAAAGTTTTATAATTTGTCTTAAAATCTATTACATTAAGCCTAAGCGACTTCGAATAAGTTTTTTTTCCTTTTTTGGAGAAAAATTTCAATAGATAAATTAAAGCAAATGACGATTATGAACTATTTTTATGATCTTTAGGTTACTTAGATTAGATATGACTGGAGTACTTAAAAAACATATTTTTGGAAATAGTCTTATTTTGTAATTTGTATTTTTTTCTCAGTACCGTTTTCTTCACTATTACCGCAAACTAAAGTTGTTTTTCTGTTCATCTAAATATTTTAGTTTTAAGAAAATGTATACTACATATGACTGCATAAATTTGACTTATCAGTACAAATAATATCATAATTGCCACAGTGCAACTATACCGTACCTATAAACATGTGGGTGCATATTGCACCTTGGATTTCCACTTTTAGCGATTTAGAAGTGAAGAACGTTATTATAACCACGATCAGGGCGTTGACGACGGGCGAAGTGAACGTCACGTTGGGCAATGTGAAAACTGCGCTTCTGGATGGATCTGAAGCAGAATACCAGAAGTTCGTTGGTAGCGAAGCCGTACGGTTGGTCATAGAAGACCACGTGCCGGCCGATCGGCTGTACCGCGTATGGGGCGATGTTCACCGTCACCAGTGTTTTGCAATAGTTCAAACAATTAATGGTAACGGTTATGACGATAATAATAAGAATATAATGTCATAATAATGTCTAATAAACCGATTTGATGGCCAGGTGTAGTTGTTGTTATTCAGTCCATTTGACGTTGTCTATGTATAATATTTTAATATAATATTGTATCAACTTAAAATTACCTGGTGAATAATTTATTTTGCTGATTTTGTGGTATTTTTAAAACCTCAGAGACTAAGTTTTATACAAATTAACATACTCAATTAATTTTAGGAACATTTAAAAAATATTCACATTTTACTATTTGTGTAGTTTAATAAAAATATATATATATATTAAGATCATTAGAGAGTTTACGATCAATTAAAACTCATTATTTAATTTAAAATGTAAAAACGTTTTTAAAAATGATAAGTTATATATTCTAATTGAGTTTTCTTTAAATCACCCTCAATTAACCAGATCATGCAATAATTAGAAAATCGTTTTATTAAAAAGTCTTTTTGTTAAGTCAGTGTATAATTATTGAAATTCAATTTTACTCATCAAAAATACCAAATAATATTCAAAACTGCGGTGTTATTATTATAATATATCAGCTTTAGCACTCATAAACATAAATACATAGATTTTTCTTTGTCACCACAAAGTAATTTATTTTTATTCGTTTACAGTATGAATAATTTGTGGTATGTATTGTTAGTTTATACTTTCATTAATTTAAAAACATGATAATATTATAAAATTTATAACAGTCTTATTATAATCAATAATAAACACTCTTACGAAAACTAGTTTTCAAGTCTTTAAAATATATCATTTAAAATTAATGAGTACATTTGCTTTTTAAAATAAAAACGTTGGAATTTTTATTATCACAATACTAACAATAATTTAAAATAATTATACTCAGCCACTACATAGCGTTGGTTGTATAAATGTTCAAAATTTATCTATAAAAATTAAAAACGTTTCGTTATATTCCTCTCAGTGTTGTATGATATACGTACATGTAATTTGGATAATAGTATACAAGCGTATATGATTTGATAGGAAACCGCACTTGGTCAAAGAAGAACCCGCGGCTTTTAAATCCGATTTTGTATCCCGCACAGCTATTTTTATCCCCAATAACCCAACTCTGGTATACTTCTCCACCTCCATCTACCATTACAGCATTTAACTATAATAGTACTCTATAATGTACTCATGCAGGTGTATGATACGTATACAATACTTATATAAATTCTAACTATTATACAATATAATATATGACGTATATATGTATAAATAGACATGTGTGTATGTGTGTGCACGTTTATTATAATGGCCTATCGCGATTGTTCACTCAACAATTGCTCCAGCAAATAATCAAAACATCCCCTTCGTTCCAAGGGTCGGCCGCATTTGATATTACCATTATTATTGTTATATGCGCGCGCTTACACACACACACAGACACCCACACACTCGTGCGCGCGCGTACAAATACACTTGATTGTTTTTATATCAGTAGTTTCTCCTCGGACTACTACACCGTCGGCGCTTTACCTAAGTGAAATACGAAAAAATGTACTTTACAGAACTGTCGAGTTGTAATGGAAAAAACTACTTGACGTCAGTTCGTGGGTTTTGGCAGAGTATGCAGTTTTTAAAATAGCCCTGTATCTCTCGCGAGGTAACGAGGATCGATCCTATTACAATATAATATATTAGAGACTCTTTTATAGAAGCAAATATCACGTCGGAGTAAAAAAAATTAAGTTCAAACGCCATTAATCTTAGTATAATATACTGGATTGTCGTAAGTAAGGATTAAGGGTGTATTGTCTCGACTCGGTCATGTCAACTTCTTTATTATCTAAAAATCTATATTATATATATATATACACATATATATACTAACACACTCGTTAATAATAATCAGTGCTTAAATTAGAAACAAATAGAAGGGGAATGCAAAAGTATAAAAAAAAAAATGTCAGCATTAGAAGATTTAAATATCTCATTGATAAAAATATATAATTAGATGGGACAGGCTACAAGATTTTTTAAAAAAGAAGAGGTACTCCACTCCTCGTATTAGGGCGAAGATACTGAATTCAAACACTTAATTAGTTAAAATATAATATTATATATATACGTTATTTCAAAAATATGCTTTACTAATACGCATATTTAAGTTAACTACTGAAACGTTAACAAACTTAATTGCTTTAAGATTTTCTTGGTATTATAAAATATTAATTTTACTTAAATACCATATTGTCTCTATTTCAAATAATATGCTTCTTTAAAATTATGTTTGTATCATGATGAATTTCTATTAGTGAGATTGAATTCGAAGAAAATGAAAGGACTAACCTTTAATGTAATTCAGATTGATGAAAGAGTAGGACAATTAATAAATAAATTAGAAAAATCTTCATCTTCTGCTTTATAAATTTATAAAATATAGTGTTTTAACCCTATATTTAACGAGTGTTTGATTTGTATATTAGACAACTATATTTAATGTATAACAGCATATTTGGAATCTACGGTTATTGTTACCTAGCAGTTTCTAAAATACCAACTTTTTTTAAATTAATGTTACACAATAATAGTTATAATATAATTACAATAGAACATAATTAATTATTTTCTGTTATGCATAAATAAAGTTAAAATATTTTATTATGCATTTCAGGTATATGGTTATAAAAAGGTTGCTTATAATAATATATAATTTTGTTTTAAAATTGTTTTAACGAGTTTTAAATAGAAATTATTACATTATGTCAAGATAGAATAGTTCAAGTTAACATATATACAAATGTTAAATATTAAATAAATTATAGTTAAAGATATTTATTTTAAACTTTAAACACTTAAAAAAAAAAAAAAAAAGTATAAGTCATTGGGTTATTGTTTGCTAAGATAACACACTAACCTAAATATACCGATCATAGGATTTACATTTTTTAGATTTGTGGTAGCACTAAAAGTATCAAAATCATTCTAATAGTATGCATGCTAAATTACTAATAAAATATAAATACATAAACTATAAATGTTAAATTAGTGTTTATCAATTTTTATAAATGTATTTTTACATTTTGATTGTTTAACTATTACCTACCGTGTTAAAGTATTTACTGTGAATAATTTTAATTTATACTAGTTGAAATCGAACAAAATAATAAACGCAGTGTTATGGTAATAATAATGATGATAAAAATTAAATATTTCTTAAACAATATATATTATGTATCGTATATATCGATATATCATTATTTATTTTTCATTCACCGCTGTTGTTAGAGTTTACACAATGAATTTCCACAGAATATTTTCAATTAACCAATGTATCCAAGTGTGTATACGAAAAAAAAAACACTTATCAATGTCATTGAATGTTACTTATAAGTTATAGTATTATTTTTAATGGTGTTTTTTTTTTATATAGTAAATCTGACTATATTTAGTGAAAAGGGGGTGGAGATATTTATTTATATTTTTTTACAACTTTTTTATTATTCATATTTTTTTTTTAGAAAGCCTTAATCACATCATTTTTTCTGTTAATTTATATCTTTTCATCGTAAAAATAATTCAATTCATATTCTATATTCTTTATTATTTGCCATTAACGCATTTTTTATTTTTTATTGCGTTATCTATATAATTATATAAATAATTTAAACACAACATAAATTGTATACAAAAAAATGTACTATTAGAACAAAAATTTAGAGGAGTTAAAAATGTGTGGATTACTTAATTGATCATAATTTTTATAATTATCTAGCAAAATACAGTATATTAACTTTAAATTACGATTATACGGCGTTTTTAGAGAAGTATACGAGGTATAGAGCTACGAATCAATTATTAGTACAGTATATTTGTTACCTATAACAGATTTATGCTTCACAGACAACCGTTTTCAATTTTTTAAATTTTAATTATAATCAGTTTACAAGTCTACAATTTGGTTATCTTAACATTCATCAAAATTAATTATATAATAATTATTTAACCATAATTATCAATTATTTTTTTTGTTAATCGGAAGTTTTTGGTTATCATTTAAAATAGTGTATGATATAATTTCTATAATTAAGACAGTAAATAACAAATATTTTCAAAATAAATTTAATATAGCTTTGTTTACTTCTTTTTTTTGCGTAGAGTTATTTAAAAATTATTTATTTATCATGTATAGCATTATATAGTCAGGAAATGTATTGTAAATTTATTACAATATGATGTGATTGCATACAGTGACTAATTCAAAGACACTAATTCAGGTTTATTCTTTTAGGTGCACTTTGAACAGTTAAAATAAATCAGTTTTCACCATATAATTATCATATACATTTTTTTCGCAACGAAATTAATCTAAAGTTTCGTGTATCGTTATAAGTCTTCTATTGGTCTTCGCAAGTATCGACAGATCTGTCGTGTCCGTACATCACGTTATTATAATATAGGTTCACATGGCGTATAGTTAAATCATGTACAATAAAAATGGTGCGTGGATGTGCGAATACAGTAGTATTTACTCGTTTTAATGTCGATGGTATCAAATCAGTGAGCCATTAAGTGTTTTAATTGCTGTATGTTGAGCACACGATGGCTTGAATACTGTTAGAGGGTGTATCGAAAAAATTGGTTTTTATTTACGCCCCATTGGACTGTAGAGTATCATTAGAACGATGTACACACGTCGAACATACCTTCAAATATGTATATTGTATATATAAATGATTTTTTTATGTTGTGACGCGTGTATGTATATATATATAAACGTAATTGTGTGCACGTGGACTTGTCGTTGTAATAATAACCGTGTGCGAGCGGACTTTAACGCCGAGGCAGTTTAGACGTTGTTTTACAGCCGTCCCCTTCCTCCTTCCACGCCGCTGACTCGCTGGCTAGTTTCGACCGAGGTACGTCATTCTCGGGGTGAAATGATTTTTTTTTATAATATATATTATTTCCACAGCTATGCTGACGATATACACACACTGCACACCGGGAGAATAAAGGGGGTGACGACGCTAGACGGCCTGAGGGTTTCATTAGAC